AAATTCTAACTTTAATCTCAAAATTCTAACTTTAATCTCAAAATTCTAACTTTAATCTCAAAATTCTAACTTTAATCTCAAAATTCTAACTTTAATCTGAGAATTGTGGATGTTAATGTAGATGGGCACCATGAAGGCAAAGATGTGAGTAGTTTGGGAGGAACAGGAACACATTGGTGGGAAATAATGGGATTATGTGACCTTTTCTGTCCCTGAAGGTCACTGCTGATGCTAATTGATTAATGGAAGATCAAAAGATGATTAAAACATGAGAGAGAGTCTCTAAAACAGACATGGCTACAGCTTGATGCTAACATGTCAGAATTCAGACTTTTTTTCTCATTATACTGAAATAAAATTTAAAAATCAGTTAACTTATTTTATTTTCAGTGGCCATAATCGTCTTCCGTAGACAAGAGCTCTAAATAAACACATATTTATATAAGTTCAGTGCACTAAGAAAAGAGGGAATCAGAGGGAGAAGTTTCTCCGCTCAGATCAGACGCTCATTCTGAAACATGGTGGTGGCAGCATCATGCTGTTGTGAGAGGTACCCTCAGTAAAGCTGGGTCGTGGTTGATGGGGAGACCTGTTAGCGCAGAGGGTCCTAAAGGAGGATTATTTTCACCATCATTGTGACGTTACACCACAGAATGAACAGAGGATCAATAAATAAGATTAATACATTTAACATTTATTTATGTATATGTATCTCACTGGCATATGAAGCAAACATTTGAATAATTAAATATTCCATTAAATGATCACAAATCCATTTAAAATGATGATTAAAGAATGAAATGTCATTTAAAAAAATGTGTTTATGTGTAGATTCTGTTTGGTTATATGTAAAAATGTGTTGCGTTGTTAGTTTTGAGACCAGAGACGGAAATATTTAGGGTGAAAAAGACTTTATTCTAGAATCCAGCGGGATAAAACCTTTATGTTCTAGAACGGTCCAGTCAAAGTCCAGAGAAATGCGACTCTTTGGTGGCTCCTTTTCCAGAATGATAGCAGCATTTATAAATACAGAAGTTGCTTTGATTTATTATTATTTTTATATTTTGACAAGAGTCTCTAACAGACTGTAATGGTACACCTGTTATTTGTTTTAATCATTCAATTGTTTGTCTTTCTTTCATAAAATTCAAATCTTTTATTAAAGAAAATCCGTTTCTGCTCGTTGGAAAAGGGAAAAAAAAGATTTTCCTTTTGTTCAATAATCTAAAACGTGGAAAATGTCGCATTACTGCTTTGTGCAAAAATATTTACAGTACATTTTAAAAGCAATATCTGCAATGATGAAGAGCTTTATTTGAGTTATTTTTTGGAAGGAGGATGAAGGGTTGATTGTTTCTGGTCTGGAGCTTAACTGGGAATTAATTAAGCCTAAAATCACTTCAGTTCAGCCTTAACGAGGTTGAGATGCAAAGAACGACGGACAAGACTTTAGTTTCTAGTAGGGTTGCCACGATACTAAACTTTTACCGATACTAAGGAAAATATTCGATACTCGATACCACAAGGATAAAAACAAAGACTCTAAAATTCTACAGAAATATTAACATTAATAAATAAAATACAATAAATAAATACAATAAAGGTTGTATGCTGTGCACAATATTAAGCAAGCTTGATAAAAAACGTATAAAATTAAAAT